TCTACAAACCTATATAGGTTTCTTTTTTGAAAAGACCAAGCTACGAGTTTTAGTTCATTGGTATAGCTGAACACAAGGCTTCATCAGTACATATTTTATTCTTTAAGATTTTATTTTCTTCTTGAGAAAATGAGATTTTTAGATTTGAAGAATTAAGTTCTAGAATATTTGGCTTAGTTATAAGGTGATTTTGGCCATCGAACTGTTGTCAATCAATAAAATAAATAAAACATTTGGAATTAGCATGAAACTTGTCACACATGCAGGTAGAGCTGTGAATGCACAATTAGAAATAGCCCATTTATTATTGAGCGAAAAAGAGAAGAGTGAGTCAATCATCAAGACAATACGAACACGCATCACTCACTATGATAACGCTCTATATATGTATCTTTATGTGCACTAGAACACTTTTACATAGTATGCGAAACAAGCATCGTCGTAAGAAAAATGAAAGAGAACGAGAGTATGAGAGAGATCTGCGATATCTCATAGAACACCTTAAAACTGCACTTATCCTAAGCCAACTATTCTAAAACTTGATTCTTGAAATCAAAAAATCTTATTTTCTCAAGAAAAATGTAAAATTTCAAAGAATAAAATATGTACTAATAAAGTCTTTCGTGCAATGTTTCTAATGAGTTAAGACTCGTGACTTGGCATTTTCAAAAAGAAACCTGTATAGGTTTGCAGAGTAGCATACCAGCTTAATTGTACAGGAACTTTCAGTACACCAAAATTAGACAGACTTCCAAAGTTTTAATCAATCAAATGGCAATTTTTCACTCAGTTTTTTGTATCTGGAATTTGATAAAAACTATTTTGAAAGACTTCACAGAAAAAGTCAATGATAAAAATTTGGCGTTTTCCTGAAATGAACCCTTTTATCTAAGAGTTATACTATTTGGGTTTAGTTGATTTCATCCACTGAGTATGTGTGCTATTGATTGCTAAATGAGAGTCAAACTCTATCGATTCGAATTTAGCATTGATGACGCTTTTTTTAACTGTTAAATTGCAAAAAAAGACAGTTGACACGTGCAACTTTGTTGTTAGTTCTCTTTTTTTTTCTTCGCTTTCTCTTTCTCTGTATTTCATTTCTAATTAGGCAAAAACAAACAGAGCGCGGACGTTTGTTGATGCGAATCAGAGTAATTGAAATGATTACTTATTATTTCCATTAGTAAAACTCAACAACGAAATTTTATTAAGATTAATCTTCAGCAACCATCTAATTCTAATTTACTGTCTAATATCAAAAGCATTTCAATACAGAAAATTCCATTCTTCGTGGACTAACCTAACCATTTATCAGCAAGTAAAGTCTCACACTGGACAAATGCAAGTCTGATAATTAAGTATAGGAATATGGCAACTGAAAAAATGATGCCAGAAGCTTGATTAATATAATGTAATATATTGAACTCTTGTTTCTATCCTTTAAACAGAATATTCATATATATTTCATTACCACTTCTCTTCGGAAAGCAATTTCAAATGACAAGCACATATTCCCATCAATAATTGTAAAAGTACAAATGATTTGCTTATTTTTCTGTTTATCGTTCGTCATCTACTTTTTGGTATTCGAGGGTATCTGCACAGATTCTCACACGTGCAATCAACGATTCATTCTAGTCGTTTTCAAAAGCATTTTTCTATCTTACATATTCATAGAGAAAAATTGAAACAATTATGTTTGATTACTACCATCATATGCATGACTGTTTCTAAAGCGTTTCTCTTGCTTTGTTCAATTTCTTAGTAAGCTTTTTCACATATATTGAGTATCGAAGAAAAACATGCAAATCGATAAACGATGTTTCATATTTTCTTAAATACTGAATCGTCTGTTTCAATGGTTGCTGTTGTTTTTTGTTGAAGCTATACTCCCCAATTGTATATTAATCTGCAAGAAAAGGTTCGTCATTCGATATGTCCATTCATCTTTCTTTTTCTTTTTCTTTTTCTTTTTTGATTCTTGACAACAGTTATTAACAAAATGACTTTCTTTTGAGTTTGAATGTAACGCTAAAATGCATGGATGCTGTTTGTTGTGTATACTGATTACGCTTCACATTTCAAGTATGTTTTAGATTAAGTTGTTGAAATTAGCAGCGGCACAGCTCTCGAACGATATCTCGCAACACAAACAAGTTATTGTTCTAAACCAGTTCCATGCATCTGTATGCTAGTTTCATGATCCTTGTGATTTGTAATATGCTTTGTATTTTTTAGAGTTGGTTCCTTCACTAAACTTTTGTACACTGAAAAAGTTATCATTATCTATTCGATACTTATTATTACAGCAGGAATTATCAGTATTCCGATCATCTGTCTCACTCGACACAGTAAGAATAAACCTAGAACTCAGATGATTTACGTAACATTCAAAACTAATATATTTAGATTTGTCTACGCTTTTCCTCAATGTAAGGCATCTGTATTAGGTGATTCAGAGACCATGAACCGTCCTATCATATCATTTTGAATAATCAAACGCATTCAAAAATTATTTTGATAAAACATAGGCTTTCGAGATTATTTTTTTGTCATCATTAATTTTATTGAGAACTTCTCTCCTCTTGAATAAGAATCTATTCTATCTCTATGAAACTAACTGTATGTTTCCAGAATAAGTGCCATTGACGTTGTATTGCAAAACCAGCTGAAATTCACAATGTAGCATAAAGAAAATCTCATTATTTACGATCAATTTTCATTGATTTGAATAAAACACAAAGATTACACACGGTTCATAAATGTTTTTCAATGTTCCTATATCATTAAGGAAAATAATTAGTTTTCTAAGAAAAACCATGATTACTTTTGATGAACTTTTCAAACTGGCTCATTTGAAATATCTTTGACGGTTACTTATACATTCGAATCATGCTGTTTCATTAAAACTTTGGTTTCTATCTGAGAATTCACTGCTAAAAGTCGAGTAATATTGTAATAGTTTTGAAACTACTGGTTGCTGTGCACTCGTTTGTAACTAGAGTGACATTTGAGTTGGTTTAGTTCAGGTTCGACCAAATGTGTCTTTCGGGTAGAAGATTCTTTTATCTCGATTATTTTTAGTGTAATCTAAATATCATTGATTTCACATACAGATGATTCTTTCTGATTCGAAGTTGGTAATTAGTAATTCAGCACTCCTTTCTTCTAGTTTTTCAAAATATGACTAAAACTATTGAGTGAATCTTGTTCAGCACACACGCTATTTTGTACCTATAAAATAATGGCATATTTTATCCGTTGGATTTCTGTTAATTCATTTTTTATTCACTAGTTGATCTATATTATGTAAAAGCTCCAACCTCATCAACGATGACGCCAGGTACTACGACGGAAGAGTCGATAACAACAGCATTTGCTCCGGCAGGTAAGGAAGCCGAAAAAAAACGAAACTTTATTTCTGAAATATCTGCTTATATTGACAGATTTAGTTTCAAATCGTTGCACCGCTTCAATTTCGAACCCAATTGTTCTGACTTACTTTTCAGATTTACCAGAATCAAAATATACGACTTTCAAATTTAGATATCGAACACGTGTAAATTCAACGAATAGTACGATAGCATTTGGCTTTCAAAATGAGGTACTTTATTGGCTATTAGACAACATTTTCGTTCGTGACACAATCACACGTGTCAATGTAAATCAGGATGGAAGTTTTGAGTCCAATAACTTAACTCAGTCATACTCGCAGTGTAATACCATTACTGGTACAGAATATATCAGTGACGATATCGAATCACTATATGCATCATCCGGAACATACCACTATGTAGCGAAACCTCATTCGGATACCAACTACTTGCTTCAATCATTTGCAACCGTAGCCGAACGCTGGTACAATATCAGCTTTCAACTGGACAATTTCGCTGGCCCACAGCAACATTTCATTTTTATTGTAGGTTCTTAAAATTTTCTTTTTTGGACTAATATTGATCAATAAGTCTCTGTTCGAATTCAACAATTTCAACAACTAGTGTAACAAACCGGAAACAAGAAGAATTCGAACACGTTGCAAATGTGAAATCAATCAAAAAAAGAGTAAAATATTTCATCCTCAACTATGCATTCACTTTGCAGTTTTAACAGAATAAAGACTCTCTCATCAGGATTTCAAGGTCTGCTCAAATGTTAGATTTTTTTACAGTCGGGGGTGTAGGTATAAGCATGTGAAGATGGAAAAGTCTTGAGTGGATTGAAATTAAAGTATACATCTTGATAACAATAACAAAGGTGAAATCGTAACCCATGAAAGATTGATCGTCATTGTCAGAGATTTGATTTATATTTAATGAAAACCATTTAATCTCAGTATGCGATTAAAAATGTTGATAGCGAAAAGCAAAGTTTCAGGTAATGATCATGTATGGTCAGCTGAATTAGTTGCAACAGTTTCCAATTTAAATCTTAGCTGAAGATTGCCAACAGATATGATAAGCTGTTTACGTACTAACCTAGTCGCCGTTCAATTTAAAAATATCACTCATCGAGTAGTATATTGATTGAAATTTTTATCATCAATGTATTAGACACAGTTATATAAGCAACATAATTTCAGACATGATAGTCACTTTGAAGACCAACACATGGTTTATCTGATCATTTTTTCCTATAGAGATTCAGGATGTTGATGCTGGTATGGATATTCTCTTCACTTCACACAAACACTTACATTCGCATGGGAGCCCATCTTTCTAAATATTGCCAAAAGACATCTTATCGTAACTGACGATCAATTGTTAATTATAGTTTTTGTCATACTTTTTTCGATATGGAAAGCTGAAAATTTTATCACATATTCTTTTAATCAAATTGTTTAGCTTTTCTAGAAGTCATCTCTCAAGTTTTAGTTCACGTGAAGATATATCAACGAGCTCCGACTATAAAAATTTTGAAACTTGTTTTGTTTTGGAAAGATTTTAATTTTTTGGTAAATAATATTCAAAAGCAATTAATGAAAAAATATTTTATGCTAGTCTTTACAATTCAAAAGAGTCCGGAAATTTAACTTGTGATGGTTTTAGATCATTAAAAATTTGTTGAAAGTATGACCGATTTCGAGGTTCAGGATGCCAACATCTTCCGATGAGATTCTTCAAGAAGGTTGGAGTTCTCGAATTTATTCTTGGCCGATTACCTAATTTAGCATAATTCGCGGCCGCAAATGGTCCTCGCCCTATGAAGTTTCGAAATTGATCTGCATAAGGTTCTTCTTCTTGAATAACTTCATTTAACATTACACCAAATGAGTATATATCACTGGAATATTCTGGTGGATTCGAGCTGCTTAACAATTCAGGAGCCATATAACCTGCAGTACCACACACTGCTGACCCATCATCAGACATAACTGAAGAGGCGATAGAACTTGAAGTTTTACCCCGAAGTGTCGCAAATCCGAAGTCCGTCACTTTAGCTGTATAATTTTTTGATACTAAAACATTTTGAGGTTTTAAATCTCCATGAACAATGTTGACAGCATGTAACTGGATCATTCCGAGAACAGTTCCGAGAATAAGTTTTTTCTTTATTCTTCCGTCTGTTATTTTTGCTTCGATTTCTGCATCTTCACAATAATGAAGTAAATAGCTCAAAGAACCTAATTCAACATATTCCATAACTAGACAAGGAGGCTCTAATGTATAACCATGCAAATAAACTAAATTTGGATGTTCACCTAAAGTTGACATAATTGTAATTTCTTTTACAAATGAGCTCTTTTCTTTTCTCGTTAACTTGTTTAAATGCAATTGTTTTACTGCCACAATTTGATTGTTCCATGTTGCTTTATATACAACACCAAATGAACCTTGACCTAATTTATCGTCTGGATTAATGTTCAAATCATTATAATCAATTGCTTGAACTGATTCTGAAATTTGGCTAGATATATCGTATTCATTATCTTGTCTATTAAAACATCTACTGGTTGAAGAGCAGAATTGACGTTGAATTTCTTGTGTTTCAGGTAACATTTCATATTCAGGTATCTCGACGTCAGCCTCTCTAGCACTTTCAACAAGAGTTCGAAACAGTAAATCTTCCAGTTTTTGATAATAATACGCTAATCGCTGATTGGGATCATATTTTGCTGATGCTGTATCTTTACATTTCAAGTACTCCTGTGCTATTGGTTTTGAAACATCAAGAGAACCATCTTTCGTTCTGGGTATCCATGAAGGAATATCTTCCATGCCGTTTTGGGCTTGTTCTCTCACCCATTCCTTAGCAGCTGTTGTTCTCATATCCGGAATGCCATTTTTCGTAACTGGAATATTTTTCGGTACTCCACACTCAGAAAATGCACGTCTCGATGTACAGTTGGTCATATCACTTTTAGAAGACGAATATCGCTTATCCAAAGTACCATCTTTTTTGTAGTGAAGCCCAGAAGAACTAGGTGGTCGATTAGCATGATTCGACTGGGTAGAGGAGGTGGCAGCCTTCGAAGAGCTGTATCGCATATCCAAACTTCCATCTTTCTTGTAATGAAGTCCTGATGCAGTAGGTGGCCGATTAGTATGACTTGACTGGGTAGAGGAAGCAGCAGGCCTTGACGAGCTATATCGCATATCCAAACTTCCATCTTTCTTGTAATGAAGTTCTGATGCAGTAGGTGGCCGATTAGTATGACTTGACTGGGTAGAGGAAGCAGCAGGCCTTGACGAGCTATATCGCATATCCAAACTTCCATCGTTCCTGTAGTGAGGTCCGGAAAAAGCACTTGCTCCATAAGAGACGGGTGAATAGTTTGCACCTCCAGTATATCCAGAAGAACCCATGCCAAATCCAGATGACGCTGCTGATCTTGACGAACTATATCGCATATCCAAACTTCCATCCTTCTTGTAATGAAGATCCATAATAGTTTGATCGATAAATTCTTTGCTCAAAAATAATTATCAGCAGTATGAAGCACTGGATAATGCACCAGAATGTTATTCAAAATCTACAATTTTTTTCACACATGAAAACTCTTTGTTAATAAAACACAAAATGAGCAAGCTTATTCAGGAGACAAATACATTCATTTCGACTGCCTATGTCAAGAATAAGAATGTAACAGATCAGTTTTAGTTCTTATTTGAGTAACTGGTGAAAAAGTATTCTGATAGGAACTGATCGATCCCAATAGTTCTCTGATACGATCAAATTCTTTCAAGGTTGACAAAACGTAAAGCACTGCTCGAGAGATACTGACAAATGAGGTCTGTAGCTAGTAATTTCAAAAGTACCTCGGTTCGTAAGGGCAACTTTTTCTAAGTTAGCTAGTACGGAGCTTGCACCGTATTGACGACTACTTAGAAAAACAACCTACACATTTTTGAGAACTACCTGGGACTCGTATCTGTGATTTTATGAAGGCTTCCTAAGGGCCATATCTGTAGGTTTTTAAGCGCTATCAAGCAGTGGTTTTTGAGTTATAACAATTTTTTTCGAGTAGTCGTTGAAAAATTGCAGTTACTGGTTTGAGGTAGCACCAAAACGTCGTAGATTGCTGGTTAATGTTTGCTGAATCTGATGTTATCAAAGAACTGTTTGAAAAGTTTTATTCTTATAAAAAAAAGCTTTTAAATAGTTCTTTTGTTAATTTGATCTTAACTTTTGAGCCTCAGCTATTCCAGTCCTAGTCAAAAATAAGTGCCGTTTGAGAAGTGCACTATATTATCTTAAATAGACAGAGTTCACTTCGTTTGAAATACTTTATCTTAAGTTGGACTGTAATTGAATCATCTGGCAAGTATGTATGCATTATCCTACTGTTGCTCGCTTGTTGCATCGTCGTTTAGATTTGATGATGATGTTTTCGATGATAGTTGAGTAGTACATGTGTGTTGCAATTTTATTTATTTGTGCACTATGTAACTGGGTTTTTTCCCACATTTTTTTTCAGTTTTCTTATTTGCTTACACAGATCAGCGTCATGTATGTAAAAGAACAGGAAAAAGTGTGAAAGAAAAGCTTTGATCTATTCATGTGAGAGAAATCTTTGCCTGAGTCGTTATATGTAACGTTACTCAATAAAAAGAGCAGAAGTATCAATGTCAACACTGTTGCGCTGCCACCACGATGATGCCAATGGTGCAGCAGTGGCATTTTTTTTTATAAACTATTGCAGCAGTGGCAACTTATTTTTTAGGTAGTTTGTGAAATTGCATGAATTTTTACCCTATCAGAGTTTCTACAAGTGCAACAGTTAGGCTCATGGTGAATTTTATGTATTCAATCTAATTGAATAAATTTATCAGAGTACCAGAAGGAATTTTCGAAGAATTTCTCAAAAACCGTCGTGGCAAACTTATAACTTACTATCATCAGGATCAGAGTTTTGGGATGAAAAACAAATTTTAATTATTAACATTCGATAATTCTTAAAAAAAAGTCGTTTTACCTGCATTTCGAGAAATAAATAGAAATAGAAGTCAATAAAAAACATGTTTATAATTCTTCATGTTTATTTGACGTATTTTGGCCATAAAAAATAAGATTCGTCGAGAACAAAGTGAATCATTGTTAACAAGTAATATTTCCACCACTGCGAATGTGGTTGAATTGATCGAGGACTTCAAAACTAGGCAAAAAAATTCGAAAATTATCTAAGAAAAAAAATGCACTCAATAATGCGAAAGGCACCAAAAGGAAAAAAAAATAATCTTGCTCTTTTTTAATATAAATCCACTTGAAATGAATAGACGAGAAAAAAAAATATACAATGAAAAAGCAGAGTAGAAAGAAAAAAAACTGATCTCATGACATGTGATGTCTTATGAAAGCATAGAAAAGAAGGTTTTTTTTGTTGTAAACAGCTTTCTTTTTCATTGTCTCTTTTCAATTGAATATTGAAGTCTTATTTAAAATAGTACAATGTGAATTGAATTTTACAATAATAATAAAATCATGACAAGGAGTTTGATGAAAATATTGTATTAAAAGATGATTGGCTATCGCAGGTAGCATCTTGTGGCATTGAGTCCTTCATAACACACTGCCTAACAGACATATATATGTATTGACTTGAATGAGTAACGAATGAAATCAATTCTAGTCGTTGGAAATTTCCTTTGTCTTAATCTCATTTTTGCCATCTGGTAGATTATGGTCTATAGTGTATGAACACATATTGTTCTGTTAACAACTACGCCTAATTACATTTACTAATTGATAGCAAACATGCCATTAGAATATTTTAAAGTTTCTCTATCTGAACCATGTGATTGATATATATCCATACGTTGAAACAGTTGGATATATACCAGTGGCGTTACCGAAAAGTTAGACGTTGCACGACTGAGTTTCTAATGTTTTATTTATCGAACTTTTTAATCTCATTGAAAGACGTTTTTCGAAACATAGTTATATTTCTCTTGGATAAAGTAGCCCGAGCCAACTAATTAATATCATTAGAGACATTTTCTCAAAAATCGTGGCTTTTAGGAAAAACAAAAATTATGTTGTTTCAGCATAAAACATATATAAGGTGTCCAGCAAGTCATTACACAAAGAAAAATGTTAGTATCTTTATCGCACTTCGATCAAATGAGCTGATTTTTTTTTGTTAGGGTAGAGAACAGTTTCAAGCTTTTATTCATGACTGAACAGTTCATTCATATTCATAAAAGTAGTCATTTTTTGTCCACTATACTACTAAAAAGCTTTTGTGGGTGTAGCTGTGGGTTAAGAGAAGAACTACATCCATACTCACCCACACCCCACGCCAAAAACAATCAACATTTGAAAGTAATCTGACTTACCCATAATCCTTAAGTAATCGAGATGATAATGGAGTAGCTCACGCGTCAAAGCACGTTTTCAATTATTGAAAGTTAATGGCTCGATGGCTTACCATAGTTGGATCGTTCCTTGTTAATACAGTTGTAGGTACCGACAAAATAAATTCTTACATAAATATGAAGACTTATCTTCAAAAAGTAGAATTTGTATTTTGAGCACATAAATAAATTAATGAATTTTCTATGCAAACATGCTAGATAATTTTCTATAGATAGAATTTTGATTAAATTTCTGGTAATGTAAACATACATGTCCAACAAATTCGTTTAGATTAATTAGTTATCTAAGAAAATCTTCGAGCAATGTCAAAATTAATTATGATATTGATTATTTTATTTTTTTGCATTGATTTTTATTCTAGAATTTTACTCTAATTAAGCATTTTTATTCTAAATAAGGATAATATGGATCATTCAACTTTGGGTGTTCTCTATTCATGTCTCTGTTACCAGCATTTGCTCGTATTCTTAAATGAATATCTGTATTTGCTTCAGTTCCAATATATTGCGTTTTATTCTGATGTGAAATTGCTTTCACATCAGAAACGATATTATNTTCGGAATCATGATCATAGATGCATAAAAGAATTCCTCAATTATAGAATATGCCTTTGAGGTAAGGCTTAGACTATCCAATAAGTTTCGACGAGTTCAACTCGAATAATGGATAGCTTTCTTGGAACGTGTCTTTAGACGAATCGATCCAAGAAGCACTGCAGACTATGTGACATATGTTCGGAACATACATTAAAGAAAAATAAACTTCTCAGTGGCATCTCTTCTGGGTCCACACTATGCGACCACAAATCCTGGCTGCTATAAATTGTTGATACATTGTCGAAGCTTTTAAAATAATTTATTTTGAAAAATTTTCAAATAAATGAATAATTCAAGATCATAACAATTTTAATTGTTGATAGATGCGCTCTGATAGTTTATCATTCCGAAAACGTTCATATTTATGATTACTTTTCTGTCAATTTATTTGATTCATTTAGTACCGTTTAAGTTTAAAAACTTATTTTTATTATCAGATGCATTTACAGTTCATAGCTTCTGTCCTCGCAATGATAGCATATATAGGATATATGCTATAGAAAACGGCAAGTATAATTTCACCTCTCGTTTCGTTGATTCAACTACTACATTAGCCCACAATCGACATTGATTTTATCGCTCAGAAAGGTATTCCGCACACTATTCTTCCTAACGACGAGCTTTGGCATATACTACTGAGTTTTGTCTAAAATTACAACAGAATCAATTCAGATTTTTTTCTGCGTTCGTTCGAATCAAACTCTACTAGATCAAGAAGACGACCGCTCTATTGATTACAACCTATAATAAGGTTCTTTTCGTAAATGAGAAAACCAAAACTTCACTATTTAAACTAAACAGTTACAATCTATAGAGTTTCAGAATGATCTCAACACTGATACTACTTAAGAGAGGACCCACGAGTGGATCGACCAACTTTGTATGAGACCGACCATCTATAAAATTTTGATTTTTGATTGAACTATCTGAAACGATAGAGCATTATTAGGAGTTCCTAAATCCAAAATATCAGATCTTTCTGACATTCCTGTGAAAAACGCCAGAGCATACAAGTGGCACACGCCTCCGCAGTTGGTCAAAAAATCACTATTTTTCAGTGCTCCTAGTATTATGCATTTTTCTCAGCACCCGAACATCTCTGGGAGTTCAGGCACGTCTCAAACGATTCAGAATTTGTTTTTCTACAAAACTCGCTAATTCAGTATATTCTACAATACTATTTACCAAGTGATAATTTCCATATACAAGCAGAACAACGATTTCCTAAAAATGAAGATTTTTCAGAATATTGATAGTAGCCACGCTGGACCATTCTGTCCCAAAATAATGTTGTTCTTTCTGGAAGCCCTTGGGATTCTGCATCGTGTAAGGTATAACTCAAAATGGTTTCAACCTTAGTAGCGAAAGTTAGTCCGGACCGCAAACAGTGAGGGGTAGTGCGTATCTCTATGCATTTTGGCTCATAATCCAAATAATACATGTTTTATGCTAATGTAAACCAAAAATATAGTTTC